GGTGGTTTGGGAGCTGAATTTCCCTCTGCTCAGTCATTTCTCTCTCCGCTCCCATCTGGTAAAGATCCCCATTTCGGCACTTTAGGAGCTTTTCCTCATCGTCACTGTGTTACCTCACAACTTTCCGATATTAACAGACAACGACCTTCGCACTAACAGCTCTGGTGACGGATCATGGCCTGTGTGTTCGTTGGCCTAGGCCGCCCGACCGCTGCCGTCCAGCCATCTCTCTGGCCGCCCGAGCCCACGGTGCTGCGCATGGCCCTCGCCTGCTTCCGTGAGTGCAGCCAGCATGCCCCCGCGGCCGGCTCCCTCCTCTCTCCACCCGCTGTCGGGGAGAGGAGGCCTTAATCCTGGCTGAGAATTCTTCCCCAGAGAAGTCCCCTGGCCGCCCTGGGCTCTATTTTCTTCCTCCTCCGCTTTCCCACCTTGGGAGAATCCTCTGCCAGCCCTCTGCTCTGGCGCCGCGTTCCGACCCCACCCGAGGAGGCTCAGCCATGGGAGCAGGCGATATTCCCCCCAACACGTTTTGTTTCTCAGAGAATAGTGCTCGGGTTTACCTTCATCCCGTAGCAGCCACTCGGAAGCAGCTCCGAAGCTGCTGGACTGGGGACACCCTGCCTCTACTCTAGCAATATCCACCGACCTGTGATGGACCGGAGAGGCGCGAGAGCCGACGGCTCCATCTGCCCAGTTTTTATGGAGCGTGGAGGGGCTGGAGGTGGGTGACAGCCCCACGCTGCCGATTCCGCGTCTCGGTGAGCTGGGCAGCACCCGGGGCTCACAGCAGCGCATCGGAACGCTCCTGTGGGAAGGTGCGATGGGAAAGTTAGCGAGCTGCCCGGGCCGAGGCACAACGCCAGACCCCCATGCCGGTGGCCTGTCACAATTCCCCACGAGACACATTTGAACTGGAAGGCAGCAGCTCAGCGTAGCCGGTCCCGCCGGCACGGGGCTGTGCCGAGCGATGCCGCTGCGAGGAGCTGGGGACGGACTCTCCTTTTAAAGCACTGTATCCTATTCCTGCATGTTGAGTTGCGTGTGCGTGCCTGTGCGTGGCGAATGCTTGCGGCAGTAGTTAGAGCGAGTGTGAGCGGGAGGAATCCAAGAAGCATGTCTTAGTGTCGTGCTGTTAAGTGTTACTGCACCAGAGTTTAACGGGTGTTAACACCAAATGACTAGTCGGAGAAATGTACTTTTAAAAAAGAAAAATTATTTATTTGGGTTCAGATATTTTTGAAATACAAAACCAAACGAGCAAAAAAAGAATTGGTTGTATTTTTTTAAAACTTCTAATTCTTGTCGTATGGTGTGGTTAAGTTCTTAATTTTACCGTGCTTATTAAAAAATGGTCCTACCGAAGCTTTGTGCTCAGGGCTCCGAGAAAACAGACAGGGTGGCGATGCCAGGGGGGCTGTCCCCGTGGGTTTGGGACAAGGCTTGGCCTCGACCCTGAAGCCAGGAGGGCTCTTTAGGCTGTGAAGCCCCTTGTGCAGCTGAGCACGGTGTTTCTAGCCATGGGGGGTGGCTCCTGCAGATGTGGACCCCCGCTGTCCCTCCTGGGGCTGCGGCAGGAAGGGGCAGCCTAAACCTCGGCTGCTGGTGCTGCCGGGGCAGGATCAGAAGTCCCAGCTGTTTGGTCCCAGCTGTGACACTGAATAGGGAAGGGGCTGCACTCAGAGTGGTGCTGTGCCCCAAACAGATGGGGAGAGGTGAGTAAGAGCCGCTGCTGCCCCACAGCCAGTGCCAGCAGGGAGGTGCTGGGCGAAGGCACTGGGCTGGGGGTGTGAGCGTGCTGTGGTCCCGGGTACTTCTGTGCTCCGGGAGCGGGCACGGGTGTCTCTCTAGAGGACCGGCAGCCCCGGGAGTGGAAAGGTCCCTGCAAAGGCTTCCACCTCTTCCTTCAGCGCCTTCAGCTCCCCCCGGTACTTCTCCTCCTCTAGTTTCTCCTTGAATTCCTTCAGCGTGGCCTTGGGGCTCATGTCCTTCTGCACGCGCAGCGTCAGCTCGATCCCTGCCAGAGCGGGAGATGCGTCGCTCAGCCCTGGCACCGCAGCGCCTCTGCCTGCGCCCGCAGCGGG